GATAGCTGATGTTGGTTGCTGTTGTATTGAAATGAAACATTGATATTTGGCCAAACACATGGATGGCTAGGTTTTGGGGTACCTTGGGGCTAACTGAGGTGATAAGATTAAAAATGTTTTTTTTTTTTATGGGAAAATACAATTTGTTTGTTGTTGCACTTGCACACACAATCACTTGTGACCATAGAAGTCTCTTGAACAAGCTGCACACAAAATCGACACGTTTAATTTCTTTGTCTTCTTATTGGGATCATGATCTCAATACCCAATAATTTTTTAAAATTTTGAAATAGGTATTTTCACAATATTTCAACTTCGATCAGACCAACTTGCATTCCTGCACACAAAAGTTACTTCTCCCAAAGCCCACAACACTCAAAACCACACGAGTTTTGATTTATTAGTTAATGTCTGTCCACAAATCTTTTTGTCAGCGAACAAAGAATTTCTGTCTATACGGTGGCAAGAAATGTTAATACATATGTAAAATAGACAACACACGACACATACATAGTAAACCGAAAAAAAGAAGTACGACTGAATGTTACAAATCTGGTCTTCTTGTACCCGTTCAAAATCGACGCAAAGGTTTTGTTTAGGACCTTTCTTTTGTTTTTTTTTCGATGATAAATAATCTCAGTTAACCAACCAGATCGCCGCCACCGCCACACACATTCGTTCGGTTCCGAGAGAGATTCAATACTAAATGGCCAGTAAAGCAGGCGTGTTTAGATTGAGATACACTTGTTCAATGCAAGCAAGTGTGTGTGATATGTGGGCAGAGATGGGAATGTTTGATTGATTGTAAAAGGAATCCAATTAGAAAGTAACAGCTGTTTTGGAACAACTCTAGTTTAGTAAAAACTCGATTTTTTTTTTTAATTTTTCCAGAGGTAGGGACCCCCATACCCAAAAGTGCGGGTCCAAGACCTGGACCTACACAACCGATATGAACAATATATGTATCATTTGAATTTGTATCAAAATTATTAATTTCTGGATCAGATTCTTTAAAAATCCCCCAAAGGCCTAATTTTGGGAGTCCAAAAAATTTATAAAAAGTATAGTCAAATATTCTCCAGTCCCGACCGAAGGCCGACTACCTAAAAGGATTATCAAATTTAGAAAAAATCTAGTTGGCGTAGCCGGTATTGGACATAAACAGAGGAGTAAATCTCAAGGCTACCCAAAATAGCATACAATTTAGAAAAACTGAACAGAACAACATGGCTCGTCCGAGTTCAAAGACCCATATCTCTGGATCCAAGAAAGATAAAAACAAATATTGTAGCATTTTTGAAAGGTTATAATGTATGGACATAAACAGAGGAGTAAATCTTAAGCCCCTGCCCTTAAAACAGCACACAATTTAGAAAAACTAAACATATTCATCACGTCCGGGTTCAAAGACCCACATCTCAGGATCCAAGAAAGAAGATGACAAATATTGCAGCATTTTAGAAATTTCGAGGGGGTTTTCCGACTTTTGGAGGATTTTTTAAAAAATCTGGGTCCAAAAAATCAATGTTACATATCTACCTCTGGAAAAAATTTCATAAAAATCTGAGAGTTTTTACTAAATTAGAGTTAAGCCGCTAGTTTTAATGATGAATATATTGATCAGTTATAATTCAATATTGGTGTACTCTTCTAAGAGTTTACTAACTAGCCTATAAGAACTCCCTTTAACTCGCAGTAAAATACTCCCTTTAGCTCTCCTCAAAAAATACCTGCTTCAGCTTGCTTAAAAATACTCCCTTCAGCCCGCGTAAAATTACTTCCTTTAACTCGTCTATAAAGACGGTCTTCGCCTCCTTTATAAAGACCCCTTTCACCTCATCTATATATCCTGCCATAAACTCGTCTATAGAGACCCTCTTCCGCTCGTTTAAAGAGACCCTCTTCCGCTTGTTTATAAAGACCCTCTTCCGCTTGTCTACAGAGACTCCCTTCTGCTCGTATAAATATACTCTCTTCAGCTTATATATTTCTAAAGACTTTCTTCCAGCTTGTCTGTAAAACTTACATCTGCACGTCTTTTAAAACTCTAATCAAGCTCGCCTATAAAGACTTCCTTCAACTTATCTTTAAATTTTATTAAAATACTGTCTTTTAATAAAATTCAACTCAATGGTAATTAATTTAACTCATCGAAATATTATAACAATTTTAAATTTCCATCTCTGCACAGTGTCTGTGACAACGTCAGCTAAAGTTCGTATTGCCTAAATAAATAAAAACAAAACAAAGTCAACGTGGTTTTGAGATGATCATGGAAGAGAATGCAATATAATCTGGTTTGATTTTTTTACTCTCTTCTCTCAATTGCAAGGCCGGCAAGAAAAGAGTAACAAAGGTTTTTTTTTCTAAACTGAACAAAAAATACATTGAGAGAGAAATGAAATGAGGGGATTATTGTAATCCATTAATTATTTAATATAATGAGTGAACTCAGAAACCTAACCGATCAATACACGTTCATGACTCAAGTTTGAACAATGACGAAATAAAATCGGTTAAAATGTATATTGAGAAGTTTTGCATGATTTCTTTGTTAACGAAAATATAAACCATTCTGTCATTTGCAAACAAAACATTCGAATGGCGCATATTTCACAAGAATTTATAGCGAAAGTGCCAAAAATGCGCATTATATATTTAAAAACACTTTTCAAGCTGAATTGTTGTAAAGATGCAGTGCGTATTTACACCGGCAGATAAATTAAACTAAATAACAAACTATTGTTCCAATAGGAAAATTAAATAAAATTTTTTATTATTTAAATTTTGCCTACCCAATTTGTCCTGATCGACCTGACATTAAGACGCATTAAAACCTCTGTTACGTTAGTGATTTATAGTTGTCATTTTGGGCAAATATCATCGATCTTAGCATTATGTAGGAATTTAAATTGAAGTTGAGCCAAAAAATATATATCAGTTGTTTTGAAGACTGCGGGAGATACCAGAAGGAGTGTAACGATGTGGAAGAAATAATATGAGCAGATATTTGGAGATACGGGAAGTTTGAAGGAAATCGGGAACTATTGCACATATTGTGTTTTGGGGGAGGTACGAAGAGAATATGTGGTGAGTGATGATCGGCAATTAACTTAAGAATGATATAACTATTACAGCGTACAATGTTTGGAGTAAATAAGGTGCTCAGCATGCTTCTAAAATGCATATATCTATCCTAATGGGACGAATTAAACAAATCCGATAGAAAATGTTTTACAAATTCATAAAAATATCGCATATCCGAAGGTATTCGAAAAAGCTTATATATATAGACAAAGTCATATCATCTGAGGTGCAGGGTGAGATAAAAAACTGCAACAAAGTCAAACGCCATAATTTTTATATTTTTTTAAATTTTATTGAATGGAATAAGTTTGGATTTGTTCAAATTGGTCACATTTGGTTCGAGTTATGGTCTTCAAACGGCCTATGAAACCGTCACACGCTGCCCGAATGTTGCTCTGTGGTATTTTGGCACATTCCCGGCGAAGCGCTTGCTTGAGGTGATCGACACATTGGAATTTTTTAGTTCCAACCTTGCTTTCCAAAATACTCCAGACACAATAGTCAAACGGATTGGTATCCGGAGATTTTGGTGGCCATTGTGCCCTGGAAATGAAGCGAGGAACCTCATTTTTGGTTGGCGCGTGATGAGTGCGATGGTGCTGAGTCCTGTTGGAATCTCCAAGGTCTGCGGCCAACATGTTTGCGTGCCCAAGGCTTTAATACACCCTCCAGAATATTTTCACGATAATATTCGGCATTTATTCTGATGCCATGGTCGATTTATACGAGCGGAGAGCGACCATCGGCTGTTATGGAAGCCCACACCATCACTATGGCCGGCGTTTGAGTTATGGTAGCCAACTTAAGGTGCACATTTGCAGCTGACCTCTTTGTTGTTTACAAACTGCTGGACAACGAGTGATTTCTCATCGGAGAAAACCAAATTCAGCAGTTCACTACTTTCGGCCAAGCGAAGCAACACTTTAGCTCTTTTGAGTCTATTTTCTTTCTGTTGCTGTGTAAGTTCTTGCACTTTTTGGAATTTCAATGGCATTACCCTGAGCTCATTTTTCAATATTTGTTGAATGAAATATTGTGATATGTTCGGCCCACGAGCCATTTTTCGGCCACTGCGACGCGGGTTTCGATCAAGTCGCTTCTTTACTTTTCGAACCATTTCTGCTGATGTTGCTGTTTTCTTCCCTCCACTTCCTTGACATCGGGCTACGCCATCAGTATCACGGTAACGAGCGATGATACGAGACACAAAAGATTTATTCACATTTAAATGCTGGAGTGCTGTAACGATAGACGCTCGTGGTTTTACAGCCAAATATAAAGAAATCACACTATCACGCTTAAATTCCATCACGAATAACTTTTTTTCTGCAAAATTCTCGCCAAAATGCTTTTGTACGCTTGTAAGCCATATAATGAACTGTCATGGGAATAACTTTAACAGCAGTCTGAAGTTGGTTGCAGTTTTTACATCTCATCCTGTACAATGGTGTAAGGTATACAAATATATACATTCGTTAATAGGTCAATAGATTTTCTATTTTTAACCATGAAGGAATGCGGTTAATTTTCATTTTTTCCATACCAAAAAAAATCATATGCAAAAAAAATTGAAAGAAGTGAACTAATTTTACAGCCATTCAAAGTTGCACGTTGTTATTTTGTTTTTCTCATCCTCTCATCTATTCACAGTGTAAACAATGAGAACCGAATAATCATGTGGCCATGAACTGGTGTTTTAAACTCCAGCGACTTTAATAGAAAATATAACCACTTTCCAACACTGTTTCAGTTTAAGCCAAAAGATATAGGAAAAATGGCCACAAAACAAAATCAACGTTAAGAGAGTCACGTATTAAAACATGGCTCAAAAACAAATGGCTATCGAGTTAAGGTGCTAGAGGAGAGAAAAAGAGATGACGCCATACAACAAAAAAAAAAAACGTTCAAGAAACCCGTCAAAACGTAACAGTTGTTGTTTCTTTTTACCTTGTGTTAAACAGAGGTAAGCTAAGGTAATGGCCACAAACAACACAGCCACATTATGAGTCACTTGGGTTTGTATTCTCCGATCCAGAGAGACAAATGGAGTGATCTCCCTGGTTAGGGAGAGAGAGATACTTTACTCAAAGAGACAGACTGACTGACATTTATGGTGGTATGTATCTCATCTGAAGCTTAGCTTAATCAATTATGAGCTGTGAGTGTGTGTTGTTGTTCTTGTTCTTTTATGAGGAGGAATACTAGTGACTGTCATTAATGTTCTGTCCGAACAGTCGTCGTTCGTTCGTTGTCATACCAATGAAGAGTGGAAATTATTCTGGACATTAAAAAAATTATTTTCCAAGTGGAAATGTATTATTTGCTTGACTGGCGCAGCAGCTGCTACTGTCGTTACTACTAACCTAATGTTGATGGAACGTCGATGTGTCGGTCTGTCTGTCTGTCTATCGTGTGCTGATGGTGGTGATTGCTCGGAGGATGATGATCTTTAGTGTGGTTTCGAAAAATACAATTTGAAAAACAAACAAAAAAGCAGAAAATAATTAATCCAGTGATTTCTAGTAGTAGTACACAACCAACAACAATAACGCCAGCAACGACGAAAGGAAAAGCAAACAGCCAATCCACCGCAAAACAAAAGTGCATTATGAAAAACAGAGGAAAAGCCATCGCTGCAGCAGCATAATTAATTGAATCGAAAAACAACAACAATACCAAATAATAAAAAAAGGTAATTTGTATTTTGAAATCACCCACAAAAGCCAAGCTTAACATTTCATTCATATTGCAGAGTTAAATTGCCACTAAGCCATGGCACAGCAACAACAACGTTTCGCCGTCGTCGCTACCATAAGAAAAAACAGAATAACACCACCTGGCCACCGCCCTAAATTTGCTTTGGAATTATTTCTATGTTTATTCTTTTTACTGTTAACTCCGCGCGTAGAAAATCTTGCCACCGCTCAGGGCATTGAAGAGACACCATATTATTACCTGGGCTGTTATACGGCCCGTTTGGATTTGACACAAGAACAACTGTTCAGCAAAGTGCCGCAGGTGTGTGTGGAAATCTGTGAAGTTAAGGATTACAGTTTTGCTGCCCTCTCCGATGACAAGTGTTATTGTACGCACACGGTGCTGGCTGAGGAGAGGCAAGATGATTTACTCTGCTCAACGCGGTGTATAGCCAGTAAATCCGAATATTGTGGTGGTGCGGGGGTACACAGTTACTATTCCACGGAAGTGGCCAAAAGTGCAGCAGCCAAAGAACTACAAGTTGTAAATGCCACCGAAAACAGTCTAACCATATCCTGGCTACCACACAATCCGATGAAACATTTCATAGCCGGAGTGGAGTCGACGCCAATGATTCGCATAACAAACTACATGATTAAAACGGAACGTCTCCATACCTATTCGATGCAGCCATTTTTCCCGCAACCCGAATTCATTGTCCAGGGTAATGAAACGAAATTTGAAATAACCGATCTACATCCGGCAACACGTTATCAAATAACCGTTCAATCGTTATGTGAAAGTAATACTCAGGGTGCCTCGAAGTGTGGCACATCCGTGGTCGAGGGTACCACTTTGATTGGTGAACCAAGTCCCATGCCACCACCACCGAAAGTCTTGACCACAACAGATAAAACCATCACCATACAAATAAAACCTGTGCGCAACAACAATGGTCCGGTAACCAAGGTATTGGTCATTGTTGAACATGTCGATGATGCAATTACCCAACCGTTTGACAGTGCTTTGCTCGGCAGCCATTCGGAGGCAGAAGAGAATGGTTTGCCGTATTACATAGCGGCTGAATTGGATTATGATCGTCCGGGTGATAATAAGACGAGGAAATTTATTGTCGGCGACGGGAAGCGGTATGGACGCTATACAAATCCACCGTTGGATAATAAAAATTCGGATGTACATATTAGTTTGGCTGTGGTGAGTATAGATCGAATGACAATTAAAAAATTTATATCCTAGTTGTTTTTAGTGTTGAAGTAATTTGTAGGGAAGTGTTATTTAAAATAAACCTATAGATCATATTTATGCATACATCAGTTAAATTTATACTCATGCATAAATTTAGACGAGCGATATCATAAGATTGGTTTCGAAACTGTTAATATTATAATAGAATTGATTTTTAATGAATCTTTACTAAACAAATTGTTGTTACCGATTTTCTACCCGAAGAAAATAATGGAATCGTGGTAAGGGTTATTAGTATACATTAAAAATATCAACTACAGGAAGTTCAATTAATCAGCCTGTTGGTGACAAAATTACGCCGCATTATTAAAAAAACGTGCAAAATGTCTGTTCAAAAATTTTTTGAGATGCCGTTGAATTTAAAAAGATAAAAAGTCACGGATACAAATAAAATAATTCAGATATACTTCACCATCCATAGTGTGTTCTGTCACCGCTTATTTTAGGTGCACAATCTTCACATATTAATATCCTTCAGGAGGCACCCCTAATTATTAAACTCCCGACACCGAATTCTCTTTAAGCAAGGGCAACTACTTTGACAAGAATTCAAACAAATGGCCAACTCATCTTCAGGAAACTGCTTATCACAGTTCGTCTAATTTTTGTGGTCGAGGAGAATTGTTAAGGCATAAAGAGATATAAAAGAGAAAGGGAGGGTCTAGGTAACATTCACTCTGAACCATTCATTGAAGCTGAAGAATGATTGCAGTCAAGGCAAACCGTAATAATTTTTCTCCAACCTAGATGTCGCTGGAACACAGGTTCTCAATTTTAGAATGGGGCGTAATTCTTTTTACTTTTTTAACTGAACGTACCCACTTTCCTCACCAATTACATTGAACGCAACCAGTACACGTTGCCGAATTCGTGAGTTTGGAAACAGAGTAAGCAGTCCAGGAAATGGACAGAATATGTATCTATTTTTATTATCTATTAATATTCACAAAGTCCTGATAGGAAATGAAAATCGAAAATACAGCGTGAAACCGTCCATGGAGATCAATACTAATCGCTACATCGACAAGAACAAAATTCAATAATGTAATGAATGGGGCATCAATGCGAATCATATCAAAACAGTTCCGATTTATATGGGTAATAAACCATTTTCTAGTCTAACCTAGACTCATTGATCTCTCTTTCGAGCTTACTTTGCAGCATACTTTTAGGTGGTTTTTACAACTTTTAAACTGAAAAGAAAAGTTTTATAGTATCCTTGCAGAATACGCAATGCAAAAGATGATGTCCAATCAATGGTACAAGTGATATGGGCTGGCTTCTTTTTTTTTTGACTAATATGGGTGAGATGAAAAAACTGCAATCAACTTCAGACTGCTGTCATTTCTAAGCCACTCGTCCGACAGCTGTTAAAATTATTCCAGTGACAGTTCATTACATTGTTTACAAGCGTACAAAAGCATTTGAGAATTTTCCAGAAAAAAAGTTATTCGTGACGGAATTCAAGCCTGATAGTGTGATTTCTTTATATTTGGCTGGAAAACCACAAGTGACTATCGTTAGAGCACTCCAGCATTTAAATGTGAATAAATCTTTTGTGCCTCGTACCATCGCATCGCTTGCTACCGTGATATTGGTAGCGTAGGCCGACGTCAAGGAAGTGGACGGAAGAAAACTGCAACATCAGCAGAAAAGCCTCGAAAAGTAAAGAATCGACTGGATCGAAACCCGCGTTGCAGTGAACTCGTGAGCTGAACATATCGCAATATTCCATTCGACAAATATTAAAAAATGAGCTCGGGGTAAAACCATTGAAATTTAAAAAAGTGCAAAAACTTGCACCGCAACAAAAAGAAAGAAAGTAGACTCAAAAGAGCTAAAGAGTTGCTTCTCTTGTCCGAAATGGTGAACTGCTGAATTTGGTTTTCTCCGATGAGAAAACATTCGTTGTCCAGCAGTTTGTAAACAAACAAAATTATCATGTTTAATTCCTAAAGTGGCCATCAGAACTCAAGTGCCGGCCATGGTGACGGTGTGGACGTTCTCCGCTCGTATTAATCGATCGTGGCATCAGAATAAATGCCGAATATTATCCCGAAAATATTCTGAAGGATGTATTAAAGCCTTGGGCACGCAAATTTTTTGGCCGCAGACCTTGGACATTCCAACAGGACTCAGCACCATCGCACTCAGCACGCGCCACCCAAGAATGGTTACAAAATGAGGTTCCTCCTGGATACCAATCCGTTGGACTATTGTGTCTGGAGTATTTTGGAAAGCAAAGTTGGCACTAAAAATGCCAAAGTGTCGATCACCTCAAGCAAGCGCTTCGCCGGGAATTGGCCAAAATTCCGTAGAGCAACATTCGGGCAGCGTGTGACGGTTTCATTGGCCGTTTGAAGGCCATAATTCGTGCCAAAGGTGACCAATTCGAACAAATCTAAACTTATTTTAAAATTTGATGCTATTTCCGACATTTTTTGCTTTCATTTAATAAAATTTTTAAAAATTATGGCGTTTGTCTTTGTTGCAGTTTTTTATCTCACCCTGAATTAGTTCATATTCCAAAGGCTGCCATTTTTTCCATAAGCATAGATTTGAGGAATTTATCAAAGATGGGTGGTAATAACTATTCATAAATAAGTTGTTTCACAAAATATATTGTATACTACAATAATAATGCTCACAGCTACCTTGGACATCGCTTTCTACAAAGAAATATAATTAGTTATTTTTTTAGTTTATTAAAAATTAAATGATTAAAATTTCATTCAAAAAATTCGTTATTAAATTCTTTCCGTTTCCTTTCCAGGTAAGCACCTTGAATAACATCACGAAAATCCTCTATGCTCGCAGTACCCATGAACAACATGTCAGCTCAATGGATAATTTCACCTATTCAACATTTGAATCGGGCTCGAATTCTGTGGTCGCCTTAATTGTAACATGTTCCGTATTTGGTGTGTGCTTTATACTCTCCGTCATTACGTATTTCTATTTACGTTACAAAACTTGCCAACTGCGTGCCATTCGGGGCGGCAATTCGCATGAAATGACAATGCAACAACCGATTATTGATCGTGAAAATAATGGTTTTGTAATCGAAGATGATTTACCACATAATGTGGAGAATTTCAAGGAACAACTTAATGGGTTAGTGGATCGTTTGGAAACGCAAAAGAGGATACCACGTAATAATCTGCGCCTGAATGTCAATGACGTGGTGGCAGTTGGTAATTATGGCGATGTAATAACGGGGAAATTATTGCAGAACACCTTGCCCGAATCAACGGCAGAGTGCCAATTGCATGTTTTATCTTTAGACGAACTGATCAGTACGGATCAAGGGAAATTGTTGCAGGAATTTCGTAATCTCATTAAACTACAAGAACACCCGAACATTTTGGATTTCTATGGAGTGTCGGCCAGTACCGATTGGTTTTATTTTGTGTTTGAACACCAAACAGTTACACTGAAACGGCGTTTAATTGAGAGCAGACGGGCACCCAATTCGGCACCGGTACAACGTATCACCTCGCTATCGGAACAAATGATTTTGGAATGGATATACGAAATAGCCAATGCCATGGAATATCTGGCCAAATCCAAAGTCGTACACAAACATTTATGTTCGCACTGCATCTATGTGACAGCCGAGATGAAATTGAAGGTATCGGTGTTTGAACCCACCCCGTATGTTCAGAATCAAAAGAAGGTCGATCAAACCCGCTGGCTGGCTCCAGAAGTTCTGCGCTATCAACATTATTCCACCAAATCCGATGTTTGGTCGTTTGCCATTGTTGCCTGGGAGTGTTGCTCATTGGGCGCTACACCATATCCCCAAATCAACAGTTCAAATAAGATATTGGATGCCCTGAAGAGTGGTTCACGTCCAGCCCAGCCATCATTTGTCTATCAAGATCTTTATCAAATGCTATTGAATTGTTGGACTTTGGAACCCAGCGAACGTTCAAATTTTGATGATATCACATTTAATGTACGGCAAATGATGACCTCACCAAGGCATTCGTTGTGTTTTGATGTCCAGGAGAATAAAACCACGATGAATAGTAACATTTTGGATGCATTACCATTTTATATGCCAGCATTGGAAATGGAAAATTAGGGGAACGATTGGATATCAAGCCTATACCAACAAGAAATAAACTGCATGTACAATTTAATGGTCATTATTATTATTTTCTTTAAATAAGCTTTAATAATATTTAATACAAATTGAAACGAAAAATTGAGTTATGAAATCTTTGATGCATATTTTTAAAAACTATATTAGTCAGGTAGCATAAAACAACCACAAAATGTAATTTATGTAAATAAAATTTAGAATATAAAATACAATTGTGTCGACATATTTTAGATTCTCAACGCAAACAGTTTTTTTTTTTCCAGATTTCCGAGCAAATAATATTCAAATTTACTATTTGCAAAGTATAGAAAATGCTTTACTGCAAGTAGCGAAGCCATTAGAGATAAAAGAGTTTTATGACTCAGATAATTAGGAAAATTATTAGATTATCAAAAACAAAACCAAAACATATTAGCAATTATTCAGATTACAAAATGGGTAAAAATAGAATAGGATATGGAAAGACAGGTGGCCGGGTCATATATTCGTGCTTGCTATCAAAATCCGAAATTGGCGTATAGCTGGGTGGTATATGAAATATGCCAAATTCTTAATATTTAGATTGAACACGTATCAAATCGGAAAAGAATTAGCTCAGAATAAAGTGGAATGCTTTTCGTTCCTCCTTTTTGATTCAGTCCATATAAAGTCATAAGAGGCATTCTGTTTTATAACCGATTACATGATCCGATTTATTTGGCCTTGCAGAGTCTCGTAATTTGAGGAAAATAATTAATATCAAGTAAAGTACAGGGTTAGATGAAAAAAACTGCAACAAATTAAGACTGCCTTTTCTAAGACACTAGTCCGACAGCTGATAAAATTATTTCAGTGACAGCTAATTTTTCAGAAAAAAAGTTATTCGTGATGGAATTCAAGCTTGATAGTGTGATTTCTTTATATTTGGATGGAAAACCACAAGTGGCTATAATTAGAGCATTCCAGCTTTGAAATGTGAATAAATCTTTTGTGTCTCGTACCATCGCTCGTTACCGTGATATCGGTAGCGTAGCCCGACGTGAAGGAAGTGGACGGAAGAAAACAGCAACATCAGTAGAAATGGTTCGAAAAGTAAAGAAGCGACTTGATCGAAACCTGCGTCGCAGTGGCCGAAAAATGGGTCGTGAGCTGAACATATCGCAATATTCCATTCGGTAAATATTGAAAAATGAGCTCGGGGTAAGGCCATTGAACTGCGAATTTGGTTTTCTCCGATGAAAAAATATTCGCTGTCCCGCATTTAAAAAAAAAAAAAAAAAAAATGATGGTGTTTACTTGCCAAAGAGGTCAGCTGAAAATGTGCACCTTCGGTTGGCCACAAGAACACAAGCGGCCATGATGATGGTGTGGGCCGCTATAACAGCCGATGGTCGCTCTTCGCTCATATTAATTGACCGTGGCATCACAATAAATGCCGAATATTATCGCGTAAATATTCTGGAGGGTGTATTAAAGCCTTGGGCAAGCAAACATTTTGGCCGCAGACCTTGGACATTACAACAGAAGAATGGTTACAAAATGAGGTTCCTCGTTTCATTTCCAGCACACAATGGCCACCAAAATCTCCGGATACCAATCCGTTGGACTATTGTGTTTGGAGTATTTTGGAATGCAAGGTTGGCACTAAAAAATACCAAAGTGTCGATCAACTCAAGCAAGCGCTTCGCCGGGAATGGACAGAAATACTGCAGAGCAACATTCGGGCAGCGTGTGATCATTGGCCGTTTGAAGGACATAATTTGTGCCAATGTTGACCAATTCGAACAAATTTAAACTTATTCTAAAATTTTATTCTATTTCCGACATTTTTGGCTTTCATTCAATAAAATTTAAAAAAATATGTATAAATATTATGGCATTTGACTTTGTTCCAGTTTTTTAACTCACCCTGTATATGAAATACTTCCCCCACTCAATATGATATACGGAAATTTGATAAGGAGTGGACCAACATAACCATTATACACTTTGTGTGGAAGAAACTGCAAGGAATGGTCCGATCCGTTCCATATTCAGACTAGATCTCAAGTATTTGAAATTATTTTGTTATGCGAAGTTAGAAAAAACACTGAATAATTATTTTGAATTAAATACGAGTTATAATTATTTAACATTTTCACCCTTCGGCAGAGGTCTGTTTCAGTCCATTTTCACTCTTTATCTGGAGTTGGTAGAAATATTAAGATATGGCGAGTTTGAAAAGAATCGGATGCACATTTCTCATTTAATCAGCCCCCAAAAGGAGTGGTTTGTTATACCTTATCTTCATACCAGACCGACAACTGGTAAAAGAATTGAGATTTGCGAAATTTGAAGGCAATCGAATGCTTATTTTCTATTTTATAAAAGTTATGTGATTTAAAATTTTAAAAGTGGGCCGACATTGACCATTTCCACTCCTGATGGAAATATTGGGATTTGAAAAATGTTTACAAAAACGAATGATCCCTTAATTTTTTTCTTTAAAAATGATGACCTTTTGTGATGGAGTTAGTATAGAGAAAGACCGATGTTGCTCATCTCCGGTCTCGATCTTATTTTGATAATATTACGATGTTCCAAGTTTGGACCAAATCGGATACTCCTTTAAGTGTTATTGTGCGCACCATCAGACAGACGAACGGACACCGCAAGATCGATTCCTGAAACTGATTTCGTCTAAAGGGACCTAGGACCTCTATTGGCGAAATCAGTTCCCGTTATTTCGATGAGTTAGATTTTAACCGTATCACATGTTATACACCCCTCTGTAGCCAAATATCTGAGGTTATAAACATTAAAATACAACGGTGCTCCTGAGCTCCTGATTCAAACATTTGGAGTGGTGAAGATATCATGCCAAATGCTGGGTTAACATGTCTTGTTAACCTTTTTGATTAGGAAAATGCTGTGATTTGGAAAATGACTGGATGAAGATGACAAGCCAAAAGCTGGGTAAAGAAAATGTCATACCGAAGGTCAGGATATTCAGTATTTTGATGATTTTAGCGACATTATTCACCGGAATTGTTTCAAATTTGGTATTTGAATTTCGAAATGGATACTACACCTTAAGACAGAAAAATGTCTGTGCAAGTCCACGTCTTCGTATAGCCTCCATATAACGGTACCTTCCGATATTCGTAATTTTGATGATTTTAGCGATATTATTCACGGGAATTGTTTCAAATTTGGTATTAAAAGTTCGAAATGGATACTACACCCTAAGACAGAAAAATGTCTGTGCAAGTCCACGTCTTCGTATAGCCTCCATATAACGGTACCTCCCGATATTCGGTATTTTGATGATTTTAGCGACATTATTCACGGGAATTGTTTCAAATTTGGTATTTGAAGTTAGAATTGGATACTACACCCTAAGACAGAATATTGTCTGTGCAGGTCCACGTCTTCGTATAGCCCCCATATAACGGTACCCCCCTATATTCGGTATTTTGATGATTTTGGCGACATTATTCACCGGATTTTTTTCAAATCTGGTATTTGAAGTTCGAATTGGATTCTACGCCCTAAGACAGAAAATTGTCTATGCTTGTCCAGGTCTTCGTATAGGCCCCATATATCAGTACATCCCTATATTCGGTATTTTGACGATTTTAGGTACAATACCCATCGAAATTGTTTGAGATGTGGTATTTCAAGTTCTAAATGGATGCTACAACCTGTGACAGAAAATTGTCTATGCAGGTCCAGGTCTTCGCACAGCTCCGATATAACGGTACCTCCCTATATACGATATTTTGATGATTTTAGCTACATTATTTACCGTTTATTTCATGTTTCGAATTTTGATATGGTAATGGCTTAAGACAAACAATGCCTATGTAGGCCCACGTCGTATACACCTCAATATAACGGCTATATTTGGTGTTTTTAAAATTTACACAGAATGTTTTAATGATTTTATTTTCTGAAAATTTCCAAATTCGTTCGAAATGGTGGAGGGTTTTCAAAGTTCGGCTCGGCCGAACTTACTACTTTTTAACTTGTTAACATTAGAAATTCACCCTTTCCCTGCATATTGCTCAACCACCCGAAATGTTACCGAAATATTTTTCTGGACAAGTCACTAATTGCCTCTACAACTTATTCCAAAGCGGTTTATGCTTAGGTTAGATGAAGCAAAAATCCATTATTACTTTAAAAATGTTCATTGATTGATCCCCATCCCAATATGGGTGTCAAATTATCGACACTGCCAAAGGTGTCAAACATTTTTTTCTAATAAATAGTTCATCAGCATTTTCCAATATCCATTACGTAAATTTTTGTGTTTATTTTGAAATAGGCAAGAAAAAGAGAAAATAAATCATTAAAATTCTTGTAAAAACAAATGTTATGAACTTAAATAATATTAATTTGTTGTCGGTTTGGGAAATATTTTTCCCTGTATATAAATTATATTATGATTACATAGAGTATATAAATGTATACAACGATGGCAAAATACGCCAAACATTTCGCAAAAACTTGTAAATTGCACAGCACTAAAAATCATTAATAATATTTTATATATACATATGTGCAAATGTATATTTGAGTGTATTTTATTTGAGAATTTAATAGTATTGCTTGATTGTTGCCACTGCTTTTTTTGCATTAATTTTATTTTGTTTAAAAAAATAACAATATGTTTATATTCCCACCTTGACTTTGGACAAAGGCTGACTTGTTTTTTTATTGTTGCTTAGCTTTGAATTCAAAACTGTTTTTTCGTTTCGTTTCGGAGGCGCTTTTTTCGTTGCAAAAAAGTTGTCGATATTTCCTGCGATAAATATTTGGAAATCTAAAAGAAAAATTCACACTTTTTATTTCTCTTCTTTGTTTTATAAAACTTAAAATTCGTTTGCTAAGTTATTTGAAATTTCACAAAAATATATTTATGAAATAAAACAAAAATTATTAATATTTTATGGCAACAAAAACATCGATGACGACGAAGATGATAATTAAAGGTAACGCGCACAGGCCAACAATGCAAATATTATTTTCGTGTTTTTGTCGTTCGTTGTTTTTTTTTTTCTTTTTCGAAATAATAATTAATAAAAAAATTGAAACAAGCAAAGAAAGCGTAACGAAACAATATAATGTTTATAACACCACCTCGACAAATTCAAAACTAAATGTATTTTAGCAAAAATATTTCGAACATTTCGAATACCAGAAACAGCAACAACGACAACAGCACCAACAATCGCACATTGCCAATATCAGAGACACAGGGTATCTTCAGGGGGCAAATACAACAATCTCGAAATAATTATGGGGACGTCGCTCGCTCGCTTGCTAACTCACTCGTCAGAAACACACACACTGCCGCATTCGTTGGCTAATCTCAAAAAGAGAGAAAAAGCCACAATTTTTTTTTTTTTTTCAAACACTAAACATTTGTCGAAACTTATCAATAATTAATAAATGAGAGATCTAAAAGCAAATTCGAAAAAATAGAAAATATTGAAAAAATTAAAAAAAATGCTCTCGAATTTTACATGATGATCCTATTTAAGTATTCTCTCGAAAGAGAGAAAGTTAGAAAGAGACCAAAAATTTAGATTAATTAATATTGTTAGGGATGTCGATCAAAAATAGATTTTAGTAAGATATTAATTTAAATTTGAATATAGTCTATCTTATAATATGAACGTTTTGTAGGATTCTGCAACAAGTGCAAAATTTGGATAAAATAGTATAATTGATAGTTTTCGTAAGCATCAGGAAACAGATGAACTTTGCTGGAAATGCGCAACGCAACGCTCCTTTAGTCAAAAAATGGAATATCTCAAAAAATCGATTTTTCAGACAACGATTTAAAGATTGATTGAAAAAAAACGACACTTTAAAGAAAAAGGTTAACACCTTTCAAACAATTTGTTATACCCTCAGCCATATGGCTAGAGAGGGCATATATCATTTGATGCGGTCAAAACGTGCCTCATCGAAATAACGGTTACGGTTTTAGCTCCTAAGTCCCAAATCCGTTTCAGGACATTTCGAGTCGATCTAGCTTAATCCGTCCGGCCTTCTTTTCGTTCGTCTGTCTGGCTGGCTGGTGCTGGGAGTATACGATTTGGTCCAAACTTGGTACATCGTAATATTTTTGTAAAAATTAGATCGAGTTCGGAGATGGGCAATATCGATCCACTCCTTCTGGTACCTCCCCCACAAAATGTCGAAATTTTCAAAAAAAAAATATATTTTCTGCACAAAAAGGGAAACGATAATCCGATTTTGCTCCAACGTTGCAAATTCGAATATTTGCGTCAGTGCTAGGTCAGGTGCGAAAATGGACAATATCAATCCACTCTATCAAGTATCTCGCCCCAAAAAAGGTTCAAATTTTTTAATAATTATAACTCCTATAAAATGTGATGTAAGAGTCCGATTGTCTTCAAATTTTACACATCCCAATTATTTTAGTAACCCAAGGTCTGGCGATAAGATGGAATATATTGGTCCACTCCTTCCGGTACCTCCCGGATAATTACAACTCTTATAAAATGTGTTATAAGAGTCCGATTGTCTTCAAATTTTACACATCCCAATAATTTTAGTAACCCAAGGTCTGGCGTTAAGATGGAATATATCGGTCTACTCCTTCCGATACCTCCCGGATAAATACAACTCTTATTAAATGTGATGTAAGAGTCCGATTGTCTTCAAATTTTACACATCCCAATAATTTTAGTAACTCAAGGTCTGCCGTTTAGATGGAATATATCGGTCCACTCCTTCTGGTACCTCCCTCACAATAGGTCGAAATTTTGAATATCCATGAAGCTCATAAAACACGAAATAAATAAATAAACATCAAATTTCATTTAGACTTGGCACATCTGAATATTTCCAAGAACACAGAATCTGCTATAAAGGGGGCAGAGATCGGACCATTTCTTCTGATACCTCCACCACAAAGGGTCAATGTTCTGAATAACCAAAACGTTTATAAAACCCGAAATAAGCATCAGATTCTCTTTATATTTCACACATTTCTTTAGTAATACTAACACAAGATCTGTTGTGAAGATGGGATATATCGGTCCTCTCCTTCAGGTACCTCCCCCACAAAGGGTAAACATGGAAGAAGACGCAGTGGAAGAATATCCAGACCTGCCAGAACGCTGCCCTGAGAACTGCGAGAGGGTGCCTCCTCATGACACCAGTGGACCATCTACATGAGGAGGCGAAAGTCCTTCCTTTACGTCAGCATAATCATATGCTTTCGTTGCAGTACCTGCTTGGGTGTTACCGTGAGAGTCATCCCAACCATCATATGGTGGATAACTTCCCTTACGTCAGCATAATCATATGCTTTCGTTGCAGTACCTGCTTGGGTGTTACCGTGAGAGTCATCCCAACCATCATATGGTGGATAACTCTCCCCCACCCAGGCGTGTCAGGAAGGACATACATGATCTAGAGAGGGAGGTCCAGCGCTACAAGAGACAGCCTCTAGATCAAGAAGCCTATCAGGCAGGTCTGAGTGGCATTCACACCGATGCAGTCGCGGATGCTATCAGCAGTTATAAAGTGAATGCCGTCCTCGGAGTCCACCCCCATCCATTGCAGCCGAAGAACGTCAGCTGCCTAGACAAACCAGGGTAGTTTTGGCGCAATTACGTTCAGGATGGTGTAGTCGCCTCAATTCGTATTGGGCACGAATTGATGAAGATGTGCGTGACGCCTGCCCGGCGTGCGATACAGGCCCGCACAATACGCTACACCTTTTTAATTGCTCAGCCAAACCTACCCAACTCACTCCAGAGGATCTCTGGCTACAGCCCGTTAAAGTAGCCGAATTTCTAAACCTGGATCTGGAACCAGATTAGCAGAACACAAACACACACATGTACTACTGCTACAAAGGGTAAAAATTTTGAATATCCATGAAGCTCATAAAACGCGAAATTAACATCCGATTCCATTCAGACTTGGCACATCCCAATATTTCCATCAACACAAGAACTGTTATAAAGATGGTAGAGATCGGACCATTTCTTCTGGTACCTCTCCCATAGGGTTCAAGATTTTGAGAAACCCAACGTTCAAAGTAAGCCAAATAAGCATTTAACTCTCTTCAAATTTACATACAAACATTTTTGCTAACACAAGATCCGTTGTGAAGACGATATAGATATCTCCGAACCCCTTGGTACCTCACCCACAAAGGGTCACAATTTTCAATACTTTTATCTGTCATAACTTACGAAACAAATCAGCAATTCTTTATAATTTGATATATCTAAATATTTCTCTCAATCAGAAACTTGGGATGAATATGGATTTTCTGATGAAGTTACCAATATGGACCAAACCTGGCACGTCGCAATATTTATATCGTATTTATTTAGGCGCGGTATGAAATGGACAACAACGGCCCATTTCTTCGGAATCCACTCCAAAGGGGGTTACGACTTTGAATAATCATAACAGATGTCAAACTATATTTAAATAATCGAACATTATCTGAGGGTAAACGTCTCTCGACAGAACCGACTGATACTCTTTAACTTGTTTCAAAATTCAAATATATAATACGCTTCTAAATCGACATCCCTAATTAATATAATATCTAAAACGTGACAATAATTCAATATACATATTTATATTATACCTAGATCTAATAATTACATATCAAAAGAGAGCAACAGCGAAAGTTTTGTTAATTTGCAGTTGCAAAAGCGTTTCTATCTCTCTCTCCCTCTTTCCCTTCAAATATATATATTCAGACCGCCGTCAATCAACCAGCCATCCATAATTAATTGGTGTTTAAAGGTCTTTGATAAAGCAAATGAACGACGAGCAAACAAACCGAAATAAAGGTAGCAGCTACGCATTGACAAAAGTAAATAAATAATAGATGACGTTTACACTTCAAAACAGACTATACGATAGACGGTAAAAAGGAAATATGGCATGGAACGATTATGAGATCCACTACAAGTCAATGATATAATTTAAAAATATTTTTCATATTTTCATTAAAAATAAAATCCCTTGAATAGAAACTGTTCTAAAAGAAACTGTCTAAAGATTAATATACTTCTTATATCCATCACCGCTCGTTGCCGTTGTTATCTTTTTGTAATATGTCTTCATGTATGTAGGAAAAATATTTGACCATGAATATTTTAATGTTTTATTTTTGGTATTTTTCTCTCTGTGTTGTGTGCGCGTATGACCAGATTACCCACTTCTGCTGTTTCTTTTTGTTGTGGCTGTGTCATTGTTATTGTTGTTGGTATTATTTGCATATATGTACAATATGAATCGAATCTACGTAATAATTGCCAAGAGATCAAAAAACACAAATGGCAAAATGATTGTATTTTAAACACTATTGCGCTTCATGTTGGTGGGGAGGGGATAAGAGGTTGTTGGTAGAAATGCTCTTTCGAATTAGTCACGTTTATCCAAGGGGTGCTAAACGGAACAGGAGCATCGTCATCTTCGTCATAAAGTGGGAAATGTAAAATGCTAGAAGATTTTAATGGTCACAACGAGGGTAAGACATTCTTTTCTAAACAGTAAGAGGTGAACCGTACAGATTAACTGGTAGAGTCGATTGAATGATCCACATTTTGTACCTTGAATCAGGATGAATAAGAGGAGAGTGCCATAGGACAACCAACCAACTCTAAAAAATTTCCAGTAGCAAAATTAATTTTTCAAGATATCTAATACACAACGTTAGATCATCAAAATGGTACCCCGACAGTATTTATTGTCATATTCAGCAATGGAAGTGGTTCTATGTGACGCAATAATTTCACTGGTTCGTTGAAGTCATAAAACATCCGATCTTTCCTTCATCATGTGAAACAATTACTTCAAAGACAAACACATTTTCACGAAGAGTGACTTATGTTAACTCTTAAAATGATTTGGAATTGTTTTGTCTAGAAGAAAAGGATCGTCAAAGGAGCGCAGGTGTCAAGAGAGATGCTAACCATGCCACTTGTACCGATAATTGGCTTCGAAATTTTTCCGGGTAACCACAAAAATTAGCTAGGGAGTAAGCCAGAACAAGCCTTCCTTTATTTGAGGCTGTCGAGCAAATTACCCTCCGGCCAAGTTTACATCCAA